AGATGTTTTTATGAACTCTTTCATTGAAATCTAGTCAGACTCCTTGTTTTCTCTGTCCATGAAGTCCGGCCTCCTGCTTCTGACACCGTCTTTGTGCCAAAGCATTACAGCCTCATTTGGGTCCTAGTCCTTGATCTCTGGAGAACACAGCTGCACCATGAGAATATCTGAAAGTGTGTCAGGGCTAGGGTTGTCACGGTAACCGGTGTAGCAGTAAACCCCGGTAAAAAAGTTGACAATAATAATAACCGTCTTGTTTAAAAAAAATTATCTCGGTGGGTTACCGTGGCTGCGGTGTAGGCGCGGTGACCCTTACCAGCCACCGTATCATCTGCTGAAGTAGCCGGCGGCACATGCGCACTTTGTTGTTTACGACCAAAACTTTCTTTAAGCTAAAGCTGAAATAATGGCAGGAGGAGACGGCACTCGGGACATTTATTATCCCTCAAAGAAGACAAAGTGGGAAATATGGGCATTTATTGGATATTTGAAGAATGCCGAGGGCCAGTTGTCTGTGAAAGGCAGCAACGCTACGTGGCCATCATAATGTAGCCATTGTCTCACGACTCCGCCATCTCCAGTTCGCCACTTTTCACAAAATCTTCTGGTTGCCACTGGTCCTGGTGGTTTTTCTTCCAGTTCGACGAGTTTTCTTTTGGAAGGCTGGCTGACTCCAGTTAAAAACCGCCACATTTCACCGCTAGTTTTAACACGAAGCTAACTGCTAACTTGATAAACTGATTGAATGGGATAGGTGGAAATGACGTTGGATGCGGCGTTCACGTTTCGCGTACGTTTGTGTACGTTGCATGCAGGCGGGAGGAGTATCAGAAATCCATGGAAGATGACTGATAAACATAACTAATTTGGTGCAAACATTTACTCGCCAGGTGGCAGGTAGAGCTCAAAAATTTACTCGCCAAATGGAGCAATTTACTCGCATTTGGCGAGTGGCGATTGTTAATTTCGGACCCTGACAGAGGTCCATTTCAAATTGAAAATAGCTTCACATTCCCTAAACAAAAAGATGGACGAAGGTGTCAACATGACATTTTTAACAGACTCAGTCAATGGAGAAAAAGTCAGAAGAAGTTGGCTTATGTATCCTAAAAAAGATGATAGCTTGCACTGCTTCTGCTGTAAAATCTTTTCTAAAAGAGAGTAGAAACTGACTAGGGAAGGACTAAAGGCTTTGAGAATCTCTGCCACCCATCCTGTTACAGTGGCTGCAGCTGAAAGAAGCTTCTCTAAGCTCAAAATGATTCAAACTTATTTGAGATCTACTATGATGCAAGAACGTCTCAGTGGACTTGCCATTATAAGCATAAATGTGGTCTCAAATCAGTTGTCATTTGAGGATGTTATTGGTGACTTTGCTGCAAAAAACCCAGGAGAGTAAATCTGTAGCAGGTCATGCTAGGTTCAGGACATGTGTGGTGTAGTGTCATTGATAACGCAGTACCAAAAAACACCACTAGAGGACATTGTTAATCATCTTTTGGGTGAATTTTTATTGAAATCCTAACTTGTTTTGTTTTGTAATTCTTTCTGGATACTGGTTTCTTTAATGCTTTATTTTGTGTTCCTTATTTTTATGGTATTTATAATTTTTCACTTTTAATTTTGTAATATTTAAATCTAATGCTTTTAGTTTAGTTCATTTTATTTTATGTATTCAGTTCAAAATGTTTACATTTCTACGTATTCTGAATGTGCAAATGGCTTTTTTTTTAAATAAAAAGAACATCTAAGACAAAGCTATGTGGTTTCTTGTGAGTATGTACAGTCGCAGTGGAATTTACTGCAGCGTAAGGGGGCGCCACCTATAATCTTGCCTAGGGCTCCAATTTTGTTTGGGCCGGGCCTGCCTGAGTCGTTCACTTAGAGAAAACAGCATCAAACGCATTCCTGTGTGCTACCTCACCCAAAACAGGAGACCCTGTTTGTGGATCCGGAGGTCAGGAGGATGGTGTCCTTCCAGGGTACTCGGTCCGGCAGAGAAGACGCGAGTGGATCGATCCTCTGGTCCAGAGATGTCCCGGGTACACCGTCGAGCGTTTGGCTTAACTCTGAAGAAGTTTCTCATCTTAACTTAACTCAGAAATCAATAACTCTGTAAGGAGTTTTCGTCAGCTGGTTACAGGTTACGTTTATTCTTAGATGTTCTTGTCGGAGTGACAGAACAGCTTTCAGAGGGTCAGGGCGGCCGTCCCGTCTCCTCAGGATGGTGTTGGTTCAAAAACTGACTTGAAGCTGGGGATGGTTAGTTTACAAAGCTCTCAGAACACTCCCACTCTTTGGCCATGCATCAAAAACATGTGTTGCAGTTATTGTTTACTCTGTGTTAGATGGATAAGGTGAACCTGACATTCTGACATGCTGAACGCATCTTTTACTGTCATCAACCATAATCATTGTATACCCAAAGCATAATAATTCATTTCATGTAATTAAAAATACATTTATACTGAACCAAGTGATTATTTATGATGATTATAAT